AGCTTGGAGAATTTGATACTCACAAGACATATTGAAGGCAAGCAGGATATAGGAAACCAGTGAATAACCTACTTAACAAGCTTGTGTAAATGGTTGGCAGAAGAGGGATTAGAAGTGAAAGCAAAAAGTCAAACTTTACAAAGGGCAAGAAGTTGTTGAGAGCCTTGATCATGTAGAAGGAGAAGAAGGTGCACATAATTGTGCCAACTGCAGCTAAGTTATATCTTCTTTTATGTCACATGTCTCATGGATCTCCTCAATTTCCTATCCTATGTATCTCTAAGCAATATTTATCCCCTTGCTATTCCTCTCAGTCATTGGTCTGCCATACATTTACACAAATTCATTAGGTAGGTTAGTTGATGTTTCTCTTTGCTTCCATTACCTTCAGTACACCCTGTGAGTGTCAAATTATTAAAGTATGCATTCTTTATTAGATGTCTTAGAAATTTTCCACAAGCATTCCTTATATTCTGGGAAACCATCTTTAGGCCAAGTGTTCCATAACCATTCTTGTAGAATCTTCTGTGGCTGAACAGTTAAAACATTACCAGCTAAAAGTGAGAATGCAGGTTCAAATCATGCTGAGAGGTACATTTTGTTTAATAATACTTTCAGTATACTAGGCCAGTGGACATTATGGTTGCTGTTTAAAAAATGGGGAGGTCAGTCAAATATATATTCAATAAAGTAATAATGTTAATGGCAATAAAATTATTAGGTAAACAGTTTGATTTTTAAATAAAAATTTAAAAAAAGACAAAAAAATAATAATAATAACAAAAATAGTAATGGTAATTGTGAGATTACCAAATGGTAATGCTGAGATTACCTAATGGTAATGGTAAGATTATCTAATGGTATTGGTAAAATTGCTGAATGGTAATGGTAAGATTAGCCATTTCCATACAGGAAACATTTTACATTCATTAATGTTGGTTGAAATTAATAAAATCTTTGTTTTAAAATAGTTTTTCATGAAAATAGGCTTTTCAAGTCCACTGTTATTGTGTCTGGTATTGACAGGAGTTTCTTTCCTAACCTTTTGTTGAATGTAGTGTGGAAAGTCAGCATCTTGTTAATGTCATTATTTTTCCCTTCAAAGTCCATGTCCTATGCATTTTAGCTGATGCTGCTGATGGAAGTATTCAAGTGATGTGGCTTTTGTTATTTGGTGCTACAGAATCACAAACATTTTTTGAAGGATTGTCTTCTTTAAAACCTAGAGGATTCATTAGCTTGAAGCCGTTTATAATCATTGATCAGAGAAAATGGTTGCATATAGGCATTTTTGAATGAGTTGGGCCCCATGCATGATATCCATATGAATGTCTTGATCTGACAAGACAATTCAAGAACATGACGAGCCGATAGATTAATATTTCGGTTTTGTAGCATCTTGGACAAAACTGTGTGTAGCGCAGCCTATCCTATGTTCAATTTCCTTTTTCCCTATACTAAATATAACTGATCTATATATTGAAGTATTTGAAGTGTTTAGTGTTAAAGCTAATAGTCTAGACATTGTGATTAAAGATAACAAACAAAAATGAATTGCCTTCTAATAGATATGATACTGCTGTCAGATGAAAATATGTCTATTAAAGAATATAATAAAAAGGGTAAATATTCTTTCTACGTGCCGTGTCCTTTCAGGATGTAGGTGATCATGGCTCTCCACCTCTCTCTATCCTTTGCAGCTCTCAACAAGTTCCTTCCCTGTGCTACCTTCCCCAGACCACGTTCTGTCATCCACTTGCTTAAGGCCGCTAAGTAAGTCATGCATTGAAAGATCTTAAAATTGAAATTTAAAAAATGTTACCTTCTAATAGATATGATACTGTTGTCAGATGAAAATATATCTATTAAAGAATATAATAAAATAGGTAAATATAAAGATCTTAAAATTGAAATTTAAAAAATGTTGCACCTTAAAACTACTTCTATACAGTGGTGTAGCTAGAGGGTGGGTGAAGGGATTGATCTGCCCCATGTGGCACTTTTATGAGGGTGGCTCTTTTATGAGGGTGGCTCTTTTATGAGGGTGACTCTTTGTGTCTGCTGTAGGCTATAGGCTTGAATAGGCTGTATTGAAATAAAAGTGGTTTTAATGTAGGGTAGTACTTAGAATTGAAAGATCATTTCGATTTTGAGTAACTTAAACATGTATATTGGTCTATCTACTTTCTATAGAGCAACAATTGATAGATGAAATAGTTTTTGACGATATCATTGAAGAATTTACCAACCTAAAAAGCAAGAAAAGTAACTTTGAAGAAAGTTGTAATTCTCATTTCAGGAATAAACATAATTCTAATTTTTTACACTTTTTTCCCGTATAAGACATTTTTGCTTTTTAACTGTTACTGAAATGCCTAAAGTATGTTTGGGATATATGTAAAGCATTGTATATTTGTGTGTGTGAAAGTAACATTATAATATGGAAGGGCCATAGTAGAGACAAATGTTTGGGAATGTGGGTGGAGGGTTTAGAATTTAGTTTCAAGTTAGCAAAGGCTGTCAACATGTTTAACTGCAAGAACATTTAAAATTTCCAGTACCTCCTTGCTTTGGTAGTTTTTTCTGTCTTGTATTTCTTCCTTTTTATATATTTATTAAAATAAAACCCTGTAAAAAATACTACAATTGATAAAAATTGCCATGGCACTGCCTGGTACACAAACTAGTTTTCATAATTTTAAGAGTGAGTCACTGTGCAATATGTATTTTTTGTCGAGGCAGAAAACCCAAGAGCTGCCCTGGGCGGCACACACTTATGCTATGCCACTGCTTCTATACCCATAATAATTGGAATCCTGGATATGATTGAAAATGAACAAACAAGAACATTTACAAGATCGCTAATAGCCTCCACTTGCAATAGAATCAAAAGCCCATTACCAATGTAAAAAAGATACATAAAAACTGTGCATGTTGAATTTCATTTAACATCAGAATTTGTGCCTACAGAATTCATACATTTACTTTGCTGCCTAACCCCAGTTTTTGAGTAATAACATCACAAGGGGGCTTGCAGACTTATCACATTGAAACATGTGCAATCACTAAAGTTAAGCAACATAGAGCCTTGTCAGTAGCTAGATTGATGACTGTTTGGGAATACCAGGTGCTGCAAGATTGAATTTGAGGTAGTTGTAATGGAATAACTTTTCACCCCAATAAGTAACTACACTATAGGTAGTCTCTGTATTCGTCCCTTCAAAAAGTGTGGATGGTCCTGCACGAGGCCTTCACCACTATGATCAAATCTCATGTGCCGGTGTCGGGCTGTCGGTTTCCTGGAAACTGATTTGCTTGACCCTCATACATCAAATCTCGACGGGAGAGTCAATTATACATATATATATATATATATATATATATATATATATATAGAATAAAGAATGGAGATAAAAAATGAGAGAGACAGAGAAGGTTATTGGTTGGACATCAAGTGACAATGAATGAAACCAAAACCTTTAAAAGCAGATACAGATGGAAATGTGTAAATATTGGGATACATTAAAATTATCAATGGGTTGAGTATATGATCTAAAATATCTGTGTATGACTTATTCTTTTTTCATATATGAAACTAATTAATGTTTGCATAACATTTAGATGAAAAAATGGATGAGTAATGAAGATTGGATGGGATAAGAGAAAGAATGAGAAGATACAGTCAAAGGGTGTAACAGAAAAGCAAAGATTTGTGATAATAGTCAATTGTTTTCTTGGAAGGGATAAAGGAGAGACTAAGAAGACACAGACAAAGGGTAAGAGAAGAACATAGGTATGAGATAAAGTATTGACTTAGTTGCATTTGAAGGGATAAGGGAGAGAATGAGAAGATACAGGCAAAGGCTGAGACAAAAAGGGAATTATGAGAATGGTTCATCTTAGTTTAAATATAAATAATATTAATTGAAGAAATGCTGGAAAGTATGTCAAGAATAATATAAATTATTTTTGTAGAACAAATTCCTCTGTATAACTTACATGGAAGTATTCATTTTTTCTATATATATATATATATATATATATATATATATATATATATATATAAAGGCTTAAACATATATTCCATTGTCATAATTTATTCCATTGAATTAAATATGATCCAATTCATCAGACTTACAATTATTATTCCAATGGAATAAATTATGACCATGGAATATTAGTGTTTAACCTTTTTATTATCCTTACTCTGTCCTGGACATTGAGTTCTACTTGGATTCTATCCTCTTGGAATTATTTTTTTATTTAAAAAATGTATTTGTATCTGTATGCATGCATGTATATATTTAGCATATGTATGTGTATTTTACCTCTAATATTATCTATCTATCTATCTATCTATCTATCTATCTATATATATATATATATATATATATATATATATATATATATATGTATGTATATTTATTTTTTCTTTTCACCTGGTTTTCTTTTATATTTCTCCAGTTTCCTTACCTCCTATATTTCTTCCTTTATGAGTTCTTTTCTCTCTCCTTTTCTACATTTTCCATGCCTTCCCATTTCAAATTTTTTTCTCAGCTAGAAAGTTTAACTGGTTCAATCTCAGAAGAGCCAAAGATTGAACAGATGCTACACTCTAATCTTATGCAGAATAAAAATATTGTTTCTGCATACAAAGAAGCAAAATAATAGTATGAATAGTTTTAATTACTTCTGAATTTTTGCAAAGTTTTTGTTTCTTTTTAACTTATCATCTGCTCTTCCTTTGTTGTCTGCCCTGGTGGCCACTTGAATGTTCTTCGTGTGCTGGAAGCCAGACACTGAGATGAGGATGGAGAAATAAGACACTTAATCAGTTTACTCAATGACCACTGAAATAAGAATATGAACATCTATAAGAGATTAAAAACAATAAACAGAAAATTGTAAAGAGTGAAAGAGAAATAAAAATAAAGAAACTGGTGGTTATGTGAATGGTTCCCCATGTTAGCTTTAGGCAAAAAGCATTTGTTAGGTTTGACATTAGAAAGAGAAGAACCAAAAGAAGGGAGGAAGACTGAAAGTGAGAAAAGAAGGAGAAATAGTAGTCTGGGAGAAAGAATTAGAGAAAAAAAGAAAGAAGTCTGAAAAGAGGAGAGGAAGAAAAAGAAGATTGAAAGAAAAAAAAGAAGGAAAAATAGTCTGGGAAAAAAAAAGAATTAAAGAGGAGAAAAAAAAGATTGAAAAAAAAGAAGGAAAAAGAGTCTGGGAGAAAGAGGAAGAAAAAGAAAGAAATCTGAAAAAGAGGAGAGAAGAAAAGAAGATTGAAAAAAAGAAGGAAAAATAGTCTGGGAGAAAGAATTAGAGAAAAAAAGAAAGAAATCTGAAAAGAGGAGAGGAAGAAAAAAAGAAAAAAAAAAAGGAAAAAAAGAAAAAGAAAAAATCTGAAGTCTGGGAGAAAGAAAAGAAGAGAAAAAAAAAGAAAAAAAAGAAAAATTAGAGAAAAGGAAAGGAATCTGAAAAAAAAGAAAAAGAAAAAAAAAGAAGGAAAAATAGTCTGGGAGAAAGAATTAGAGAAAAAAAAGAAATCTGAAAAGAGGAGAGGAAGAAAAAAGAAGATTGAAAAAAAAAAGAAGGAAAAAAATAGTCTGGGAGAAAGAATTAGAGAAAAAAAGAAAGAAATCTGAAAAGAGGAGAGGAAGAAAAAAAGATTGAAAAAAAAAAGAAAAAAAAGTCTGGGAGGAAAAATAAAGAAATCTGAAAAGAGGAGAGGAAGAAAAAAGAAAGAGAAAAAGAGGAGAAAGAAAAGAAAAAAAAAAAAAAGAAGTCTGAAAAGAGAAAAGAGGAAGAAAAAAAGAAGAAAAAAAAAAAGAAGGAAAAATAGTCTGGGAGAAAGAATTAGAGAAAAAAGAAAGAAATCTGAAAAGAGGAGAGGAAGAAAAAGAAGATTGAAAAAAAAAAGAAGGAAAATAGTCTGGGAGAAAGAATTAGAGAAAAAAGAAAGAAATCTGAAAAAAGGAGAGGAAGAGATTGAAAAAAAAAGAAGGAAAAATAGTCTGGGAGAAAGAATTAAAAAAGAAAGAAATCTGAAAAAAGGAGAGGAAGAAAAAGAAAAAAAAAAAAAAAGAAGGAAAAATAGAAAAGAAAGAATTAGAGAAAAAAAAAAAAAGAGGAAAAAGGAGAGGAAAAAAAGAAGATTGAAAAAAAAAAAGGAAGAAAAAAAAAATAGTCTGGGAGAAAGAATTAAAAAAAAAGAAAGAAATCTGAAAAGAGGAGAGGAAGAAAAGAAGATTGAAAAAAAAGAAGGAAAAAATAGTCTGGGAGAAAGAATTAGAGAAAAAGAAAGAAATCTGAAAAGAGGAGAGGAAGAAAAAAAGAAGATTGAAAAAAAAAAAAGAAAAAAAATAGTCTGGGAGAATTAGAGAAAAAGAAATTGAAAAGAGAAAAAGAAAAGAAATCTGAAAAAAAGAGGAGAGGAAGAAAAAGAAAGAAATTGAAGAAAAAAAAAAAGAAGGAAAAATAGTCTGGGAGAAAGAATTAGAGAAAAAAAAAAGAAATCTGAAAGAGGAGAGGAAGAAAAGAAGAAGAAAAAGTCTGGGAGAAAAGATTGAAAGGAAGAAAAAAAAAAAAAAAGAAGGAAAAAAGTCTGGGAGAGTAGAGGGAGAAAAAAGGAAGAAGAAAAGAAGATTGAAAAAAAAAAAAAAGTCTGGGAGAAAGAAGAAAGAAAAAGAGAAGAAAAGAAGATTGAAAAAAAGAAGGAAAGAAAAGAAGATTGAAAAAAAAGAAAAAGGAAAAAAAAGTCTGGGAAAAAAGAAAAAAATGGGAGAAAGAGAAAAAAGAAAGAAATCTGAAAAAGGAGAGGAAGAAAAGAAGATTGAGAAAAAAAAAAAAGAAGGAAAAAATAGTCTGGGAGAAAGAATTAGAGAAAAAAAGAAAGAAATCTGAAAAAAGGAGAGGAAGAAAAGAAGATTGAAAAAAAAAAGAAGGAAAAAATAGTCTGGGAGAAAGAATTAGAGAAAAAAAGAAAGAAATCTGAAAAGAGGAGAGGAAGAAAAAGAAGATTAAAAAAAAAAAGAAGGAAAAAAAATAGTCTGGGAGAAAGAAATTGAAAAGAGGAGAGAAAAAAAGAAAAAATCTGAAAAAGGAGAGGAAAGAAAGAAAAAAAAGATTGAAAAAAAAAGAAGGAAAAATAGTCTGGGAGAAAGAATTAGAGAAAAAAGAAAGAAATCTGAAAAGAGGAGAGGAAGAAAAAGAAGATTGAAAAAAAAAGAAGGAAAAATAGTCTGGGAGAAAGAATTAGAGAAAAAAGAAAGAAATCTGAAAAGAGGAGAGGAAGAAAAAGAAGATTGAAAAAAAAAGAAGGAAAAATAGTCTGGGAGAAAGAATTAGAGAAAAAAGAAAGAAATCTGAAAAGAGGAGAGGAAGAAAAGAAGATTGAAAAAAAAAGAAAAAAAATAGTCTGGGAGAAAGAATTAGAAAAAAAAGAAAAGAAATCTGAAAAAGAGGAGAGGAAGAAAAGAAGATTGAAAAAAAAAAAAAAAGAAGGAAAAATAGTCTGGGAGAAAGAAATTAGAAAAAAAAAAAAGAAAAGAAATTGAAAAAAAAAGAGGAAAAAGAGGAAGAAAAAAGAAGAGGAAGAAAAAAAAAAAAAGAAGGAAAAAAATAGTCTGGGAGAAAGAATTAGAGAAAAAAAAGAGGAAAAAAATCTGGGAGAAAAAAAGAGAAAGGAAGAAATCTGAAAAAGAAGATTAAAAAAAAAAAAAGAAGGAAAAATAGTCTGGGAGAAAGAATTAGAGAAAAAAAGAAAGAAATCTGAAAAGAGGAGAGGAAGAAAAGAAGATTGAAAAAAAAAGAAGGAAAAAATAGTCTGGGAGAAAGAACTAGAGAAAAAAAGAAAGAAATCTGAAAAGAGGAGAGGAAGAAAAAGAAGATTGAAAAAAAAGAAGGAAAAATAGTCTGGGAGAAAGAATTAGAGAAAAAAGAAAGAAATCTGAAAAGAGGAGAGGAAGAAAAGAAGATTGAAAAAAAAAAAAAAAGCAAAAAAAAAAAAAATAGTCTGGGAGAAAGAATTAGAGAAAAAAAAAGAAAGAAATCTGAAAAAGGAGAGGAAGAAAAAAGAAGATTGAAAAAAAAAGAAGGAAAAATAGTCTGGGAGAAAGAATTAGAGAAAAAGAAAGAAATCTGAAAAGAGGAGAGGAAGAAAAAAGAAGATTGAAAAAAAAAAGAAGGAAAAATAGTCTGGAGAAAGAATTAGAGAAAAAAAAAGAAAAAAAAGAAAGAAAAAAAAGAAATCTGGGGAGAAAGAAAGGAGAGAAAAAGAAAAAAATCTGAAAAGATTGAAAAAAAAAGAAAAAAAAAGGAAAAATAGTCTGGGGGAGAAAAAAAAAGAATTAGAGAGGAAAAAAGAAAGAAATCTGAAAAAAAAGAGGAGAGGAAGAAAAAAGAAGATTGAAAAAAAAAAGAAGAAAAAATAGTCTGGGAGAAAGAATTAGAGAAAAAAGAAAGAAATCTGAAAAGAGGAGAGGAAAGAAAAAGAAGATTGAAAAAAAAAGAAGGAAAAAAAATAGTCTGGGAGAAAGAACTAGAGAAAAAAGAAAGAAATCTGAAAAAAGAGGAGAGGAAGAAAAGAAGAGAAGAAAAAAAAGAAGGAAAAATAGTCTGGGAGAAAGAATTAGAAAAAAAAAGAAATCTGAAAAGAAATCTGAAAAAAAAAGAAGATTGAAAAAAAAGAAGGAGAGAATTAGAGAAAAAGAAAAAAATCTGAAAAAGGAGAAAAAAAGAAGATTGAAAAAAAGAAGGAAAAATAGTCTGGGAGAAAGAATTAGAGAAAAAAGAAAGAAATCTGAAAAGAGGAGAGGAAGAAAAGAAGATTGAAAAAAAAGAAGGAAAAATAGTCTGGGAGAAAGAATTAGAAAAAAAGAAAGAAATCTGAAAAAGGAGAGGAAGAAAAAGAAAATTGAAAAAAAAAGAAGGAAAAAATAGTCTGGGAGAAAGAATTAGAGAAAAAAGAAAGAAATCTGAAAAAGAGGAGAGGAAGAAAAAGAAGATTGAAAAAAAAAGAAAAAAAAAGAAGGAAAAAAGAAAGTCTGGGAGAAAGAATTAGAGAAAAAAAGAAAAAAGAAATCTGAAAAAGGAGAGGAAGAAAAAGAAGATTGAAAAAAAAAAAGAAGGAAAAATAGTCTGGGAGAAAGAATTAGAGAAAAAGAAAAAATCTGAAAAGAAAGAAGAAAAAATTTGAAAAAAAAAAGAAAAGTCTGGGAGGAGAAAAAAAGAAAAGAAATTGAAAAGAAAAAAAAAAGAAGATTGAAAAAAAAGAAGGAAAAATAGTCTGGGAGAAAGAACTAGAGAAAAAAAGAAAGAAATCTGAAAAGAGGAGAGGAAGAAAAAGAAGATTGAAAAAAAAAAGAAGGAAAAATAGTCTGGGAGAAAGAATTAGAGAAAAAAGAAAGAAATCTGAAAAGAGGAGAGGAAGAAAAAGAAGATTGAAAGAAAAAAAGAAGGAAAAATAGTCTGGGAGAAAGAATTAGAGAAAAAAGAAAGAAATTGAAAAAAAAAGAGGAGAGGAAAAAAAGAAGATTGAAAAAAAAAAAAAGGAAGAGAAAAAAAAGAAAAAATAGTCTGGGAGAAAGAATTAGAGAAAAAGAAAGAAATCTGAAAAGAGGAGAGAAGAAAAAAAGAAGATTGAAAAAAAAAAAAAAGAAGGAAAAAATAGTCTGGGAGAAAGAAATTAGAGAAAAAAAAAGAAAGAAAAATCTGAAAAGAGGAGAGGAAGAAAAGAAGATTGAAAAAAAAGAAGGAAAAATAGTCTGGGAGAAAGAATTAGAGAAAAAAGAAAGAAATCTGAAAAGAGGAGAGGAAGAAAAAGAAGATTGAAAAAAAGAAGGAAAAAATAGTCTGGGAGAAAGAATTAGAGAAAAAGAAAGAAATCTGAAAAAAAAGAAAAAAAAGATTGAAAAAAAAAGAAGGAAAAAAGTCTGGGAGAAAGGAAGAAAAAGAAAGAAATTGGAAAAGAGGAGAGGAAGAAAAGAAGAAAAAAAGAAGGAAAAATAGTCTGGGAGAAAGAATTAGGAAGAAAAAAAGAAAAAAAAAAGAAGGAAAAAAGTCTGGGAGAAAAATTGAGAAAAAAAGAAAGAAAGAAAGAGAGAAGAAAAGAAGATTGAAAGAAAAAAAAGAAGGAAAAATAGTCTGGGAGAAAGAATTAGAGAAAAAAGAAAGAAATCTGAAAAGAGGAGAGGAAGAAAAAGAAGATTGAAAAAAAAAGAAGGAAAAATAGTCTGGGAGAAAGAATTAGAGAAAAAAAGAAAGAAATTCTGAAAAAGAGGAGAGGAAGAAAAAAAGATTGAAAAAAAAAAAAGAAGGAAAAAATAGTCTGGGAGAAAGAATTAGAAAAAAAAGAAAGAAATCTGAAAAAAGGAAGGAAGATTGAAAAAAGAAAAAAAGAAGATTGAAAAAAAAGAAATCTGAAAAAAGAAGAAAAAAGAAGATTGAAAAAAAAGAAGGAAAATAGTCTGGGAGAAAGAAAGAAAAAGAAAGAAAGAAAAAAAAAAGAAAAAAAGAAATTTGAAAAGAGGAGAGGAAGAAAAAAGAAAGAAATTGAAAAGAGGAGAGGAAGAAAAGAAAGAAAAAAAAAAGAAGGAAAAATAGTCTGGGAGAAAAAGAATTAGAGGAGAAAAAAGAAAAAAAATCTGAAAAGAGGAGAGGAAGAAAAAGAAGATTGAAAAAAAGAAAAAAGAAGGAAAAAAATAGTCTGGGAGAAAGAACTAGAAAAAAAAAGAAAGAAAGGAGAGGAAAAAAAAAGAGGAAGAAAAAAAAAAGGAAAAAGATTGAAAGAAAAAAAGAGAAAAAAAAATAGTCTGGGAAAAAAGAACTAGAAGAAAAAAAGAAGGAAATCTGGGAGAAAAAGAGAAAAAAGAGAGAAAGAAAAGAAGAGGAAGAAAAGAAGAAAAAAAAGAAGGAAAAATAGTCTGGGAGAAAGAACTAGAGAAAAAAAAGAAAAAAAAAAAAAAAGAAAAATCTGGGAGAAAGAAAAAAGAAAGGAGAGGAAGAAAAAAAGAAGATTGAAAAAAAGAAAAAAAAAAAAGAAGAAAAATAGTCTGAAAAGGGAGAAAGAAAAAAGATGAAAGAAAAATGGAAAAATATTTGGGTAAAAAAAGAAAAAAAGAAAAAAAAAAAGAGGAAGAAAAAAAAATTGAAAAAAAAAAAGGAAAAAAAATAGACCCAGAGAAAAGAAAAACAAAAAAAAAGAAAAAAGATTGGAAGAAAAAAAAAGGAAAAAGTCTGGGGAGGAACTAGAGAAAATAAAAAAAAGAAAGAAAGGAAGAAAGGAGAAAAACTAGTTTGGGAAAAAGAGAGAAAAAAGAAAAATATCTAAAAAAAATAAAAAGATTGAAAAAAAAAAAAGGAAAAAATAGTCTGGGAGAAAGAACTAGAAAAAAGAAAGAAAAAAAGTGGAAGAAAAAAAAAACTGAGTGAAAAGAAAAAAAAGAGAAAAAAAAGGAAAAGAAAAATGTTGATAAAAAAGAGAAAAAAAAGAAAAAAAAAAAGAAAAGAAAAAAAAAAAGAAAAGAAATAAAAAGGCAAAAAAAAGAATTATCTGAGAAAAGGAGAAGAAGAAAACTGGAGGAAAAGCAAGTAAGAAGAAAGAAGGAAAAGAGTTGAAAAAAAGAAAGAAAAAAAAAGTGAAAGAAAAAAAACACAATATCTGGAAAAGGAAGAAATTAATGAGAGGGAAGGAAAGAAAAAAGTAGAAAGAAAAAAAGGAAAATAAAAAAGAAAGAAGAAAGTGAAGGAAAAAAAAGTAGAAAAAAAGAAGCTTAATAAAAAGAATAGAGGAAGGAAAAAGTGAAAAAGGCTTAATAAAAAATGATGATAAAAATGATGATAAAAGAAAAAAAAGTGTAAAAAGTGCTATAGAGGATAGAGAAAGAGCAAAAAGAGAAAGAAAACAAATAAGTAATAATGAAAAAAAGATGTCATAGGGAAAAGAAGAAAATGAGAAAGGAAAAGGAAAAGAAGGAAGGGAGAAAGAAAAATGAATTAAAGAAAATTTGTGGTAATGAAAGAAAAAGTCATGTATGTGAAATAAAGAGAAAGCAAAGGAAACTAGTGACACATAAAGAAGAGAGAAAGAAAGAAGAAAAATGAAAAAAAATGAAATAAAAATTAATATTACCCAGAAAAAATAAAGAAGGATGAAAAAGAAAGCATTGTAAAATGAAATTTAAGGAACCAGGTAAGAAAACAAAATTAATTTTAAGGAACCAGGTAAGAAAACAAAATTAATTTTAAGGAACCAGGTAAGAAAAGTAGTCTTAGAGGAAAAAAATGAAAGAACAGATGAAAAAAAAACTCAGAAAAAGATAAAAAAAAAAAAAAGATGGAAGAAATAGAGGGAGACAGGAGAAAAAGTCTTAGGAGTCAAAAGAAGAAAGAGAGAAATAAGAAGAATGAAAGTGAGGAAAACTGAGTAAAGAAAGAAGGAAGAAAAATAGAAAAAGAATGAAAAAAAGAAAAGTTACGTAAGAGGGAGAAAGAAAGAGAAAAGAAATAAATGAAAGAAAAGTTGTCTGGTGTAGGAAAGCAAGAAATGGAAAAAAAGAAAAGAAAGAAATCAGGGCATTTTTCTTGGGAATTGGCCAACTGTATCAAGTTCAGACTGAGTGACTTGAATTGAAAATGTCAAGTGGAAGACAAACGAAAATGTAAATAAGCTTTATCTATAAAAGCTTATTTATCTACTTAGTACCTTTCATTACACCCACACACATGTGCACACACACATACACACACATATGCACACACACATGGAATGCTCTGAAAATAATGCCACTTATTTCTTTCCATAGAAACTACAACAGATACAGAAAGCACAATAACACCTTTGGATAGAGCACATTGACAACATCCAACAGTATCACCAACATAGGCTATGCATTTTTATCAGTGATGAACCAGAGCAATGACTTTTGTGCATTTACAACAGTACAGGGCTACCCAGAATACTGTTGCAATTGCTGAGATACATAGCTCTAACTGTGCTCACATCAACTGTTTCATCTCCATAAATGTTCAGCAAATATCGACAAATGTCCATCGGTGAAATATTTTCCCATCTGAAGAAGTTCAATACATATCTGCTTCTTATGCACTTTTATGACGCTATTTAGCCAAACTGCTTTTCAGTTGCTATACATCATAAGGCAAAAGAAAATCATGGCTTATTCATGGGAGAGTTTATCTTTTACTGTCATACCATCAAAATCTGCTGCTGATGTGGGTCAACATGATAAAAAATGGGAGGCATAATTTTTGAAGCAGCCCATGTGTGCTCATGACTGTGTGTGCATGTGTGGGAATGTGCATGTGGGAAAACAATATATAAATTTTTCATACATCAAGAAAGAACTTTACTGAAGAACACACTAAATGCATTAGTTTTCTCACCATAATGAGAATGGCTATATTTTTTATTTAAAAAAAAGTTACTCTAATTAAAAGAGAGAGTGATTTACTGAGACAAAAATGTAGAAAGTGCTTTAATTGCTAGATCAAACATAGCAAATTTGTGTTTAGGTTCTAAATAAATAAATAAATAAAAGAAAGGTAAATTAAATGAAAGTGGCATGATTATATGCTCAAAATATACATTAAAAAACAAATTTAATTTAAAATTCTCCTCTTTTAATTTCAAAGAGTCCTTTTCCATTGTGCACATGTATAGTCACCTCAACGTAAATATCATTTTAGTTTGATGAATTCCTAAAGATGGAACACATCACACAAAAGTTTATTCCACTTTGTCATACACTTCTCCTAATATATATATATATATATATATATATATATATATCTAAAAAGATAAAACACTGACTGGAAAACTAGTGCGGTTTCAACTGCCAAAAGGTCTCAGCAGGTGGATTACTAAGTAAATCACCTGACGAAACCTTGTTGGTAGAAACTGTGTAGTGTTCCAACTGCATTTTATCTTTTTATATATATATATATATATATATATATATATATATATATATATATAAATACGTTTATATATATATATATATATATATATATATATATTTGGGGAAGTGTAAGGACAAAATGGAAGAAACTTTGTGTGATGCGTTTATCCTTTAGGACTTCATCAAACTAAAATGATGATATAAATCATTCTACAAGTTGATTTTTCTTACTTGAAATTGAACACTTTTTAACGATTTTAACAACTACTTTTCAGTGTGTGTGTGTGTATATATATATATATATGTATGGTAGAAAGGAATACAATAGTTGCCTATTTCCAAACATATTGGATACATCACTCTCTGTTTAAGCTATACAGTGTAAAGGGGATAAAATTCTTCTGAACCTATCCTTCACCTGGAAAGGAACAATTACCATTATCCAGCAACTGCTCTCATCAAACAAAAAATAAATCTTGGGGCATGGAACGTTAGAATGTTAAATAACTGTGGCCAGTTGGAAAATGTAAGACAGGAGATGAATAGGTTAAATGTCAACATTTTAAGTGTATGTGAAATTATGTGGTCAAATAACGGAGATTTTGTCAGTGACAACTACAGTATTATATATGCAGGTAGAGAGAAAAATGAAAAAGGAGTTGGATTGATACTAGATAAAAACATCAAGAAATGCAGTCTAGGATACTGTCTGTTATCTGAAAGAATTCTTGTAGTTAAACTGAAATGAAATCCCCTTTCAACATATGTGTTATAATAGTGTATGCACTGAAAGCACAAAGTATGGAAGAAGAAATCTAATCTTTCTATTTCATGCTAGACAATGCTTAGGCTCAGTGCAAATCACAAGAAGTTATAATTATCATGGGAGAATTGAATGCCAAAGTACACAAGGAGAGGGAAGAGGAGATAGCTGGTAAATTCAGACTAGGACCCACAACAAATGTGGCCAAAAATGGATTCAATAGTGCATGGCCAATGACTCAGTAATAGCCTAGACCTGGTTACAAGAACATCCAAAATGATTATAGACATGAAGAGGCACAGGAGGAGAAACTAACAACCAAATTGACTATATAATTATCAAGAAAATATTTAGGGTTGCAGTTGTTCACTGAAAAACCTATTCAAGTGCTGACTGTGGAAGTGACCAACTCTCTGTTATTAAGAATAAAACTAAAGAAAATTAAAGAAGCCTAACACAGTACCCAAATTGCAATACAACAGATTAATGGAAACTCAAAATGGAACACACTAAATGAAGCTTTAGTGAGATCAGCAAATGACGTCATCCCAAAGGAAAATGGATGAAGAACAAAAAAATGAATGGATCATAGATGAGATTCTCAACATGATGCAAAGGAGACAGAAAACAATGCCAACACATGGAATGGAATACAGAAAACTACACAATGAAATAAAGAACAAATGCAAGCAGGCTAAAGAAAAATGGCTCAATGAAAAAGATATGAAAAATAACAGGAACTAACAGGACAAAAAACATGCTTATAAGCAGGCTGCATAAAATCCAAAGATGGAACACTCATATTAGAGAAAGAAAAAATTCTTCAATGCTGGAATGAATATGTTGGAGATCTCTTCTAAGATGAAAGAGAACAACCAGCAATACTCAAAAATACTGACAGGCTGGAAATAATAAAAACTGAAGTGGAAGCTGCACTGACCAAATTGAACAGAAACAAAGCTCCAGGCCAGATAGAATTGTAATAGAGATTCTGACAGCCTTGGATGATTTTGGCATAGACAAAATTATAGAAATAATAAATGAAATCTACAACAGTGTGGATATACTGGAAGAACCAAAGCAGATTTATTTTCATAGCACTGTGCAAATGAATGTGAAGTCCAGCAAACAATCAGCCTAATGAGCCACATAACAAACCTCATCATCCAAATTCTGACAGAGAATCAGGGCAGAGACAGAACAAGAATAGTGCAGGTTTGTCAAGGACACCAGAACAAGGAATGCAATATTTATGTTTAGAATGTTATCAGAAAGAGCAATACAAATGCAGAAGGACATGTACCTGTGTTTTATAGACTACACAAAAGTGTTCGACAAAGTACACCACAAAGATCTGTTAGAGCTGCTCAGCAACTTTGACATATTTGGGAAAGACATTAGGATAATTCAAAATCTCTACTGGCAGCAAACTGCCTGCATATGGATAAAAAATGAGTGCAGCAGATATACAAAAATAAAAAGGGGTGTAAGACAAGGAGATGTCTTCTCACCAGACTTATTCAGCCTATACAGCAAGGTAATTCTGAGAGAACTAGATATCCTATCAGGATTCATCATTGGCAGTCACAATCTTAACAACATAAAATATGCAGATGATACAGTAGACACAGAAAGGAAACTGCAAAAGCTTCTACAGAAGGTAGCGAAGGAGAGTGAGAAGAAGGGACTAAGCATAAGCTACAAGAAGATAGAATGCATAGTCATCAGCAAAAAGATGAGCCCAAAATGCAAATTACAGGTCGGGGATACTAAAATGAAGCAGGTGTGGAAATTTAAATATCTGGGAAGTGTTCTGACAGAGGATGGAAAGTCTGACACTGAGATCTGAAAACGTATTAGGATAGCCAAAGATGCATTCCAAAAGCTAAGCAGAGTACTAAGAGACAGGAAAGTTTCATTGGAAACAAAGAAAAGAGTACTAAACTATTATGTGATATCAGTCCTTGTGTATGGCAGTGAACATTGGACAATCTCCTTAAAGATGAAAAAGAGACTCAAAGCCACAGAAATGTGGTTGTACAGAAGGATGCTAATGATATCATGGACTGAACATGTGAGCAACAAGAAAGTTTTAGAGAAAATGGAAACAAAAAGGACACATCATCAGGAAGTTGAAATTTCTGGGGCACATAATGAGGAAGGAGGGCTTGGAAAATCTGATACTCACAGGATGGAAAGTGGGAAAGTGGGATGGGGAAAACAATATGTGACATACTTAATGGGCTTGAGCATATGGATGGTAGAATGGAGTTTGGGAGAAATGACAAAAAACAAAAACTATTAAGGACTATAAGAGACAGAAGGAGGTGGAGGTCCATGATCACCTATGTCCTAAAGAAACACGGCATATAAAAGAAGAAGGTATATATATATATATATATATATGGTGATTTTCTAAGAAAACAGAGATAAGGAAAAATTTTCATTATATATAAGGCTCATTCAGTCAGTATTTTGCAACTGAAGATTGCGTGTTTGCATGAAACTTTGAGTAATACTTAATAGCTCTGTTATATTACATGGAGCACTATTTTTATAACACCTGAGAAAAAATATATATATATATATATATATATATATTCAAGTGTATGTGCATGTATGTATGTTTTATCATACCCATATCTACATCTCTCCCTGCCTCTCCTCTATGCATATATATATATATATATATATATATATATATATATATATATGATAGGATAAAGAACAAATAGGAAACGGATCTTAATCTAAGATGTTTCACCTTATTAAAGCTTCGTCAGAGATCAAGATAGAAATGTTAAAAAATGATAAAAAGCAAAGAGATTCTGAGTAATGGTATGTGTGTTTTGTTATTTCTTATAGGTTAGATATGTGTCATATGTAATGAAGTAACAGATAATATTCAAATATGTGTGAGAAACATTATGGACACTAAAGTGCATAAAAGTTAGTAAGACACAGCAGGATGTTTTTAAAAATTTTGTTTTGGCTTGAATTTTCATTAATGCTTATTTTGTGCATATTTTGTATATATCTTCACTAATTTTTAATACAGATATAAATTAGATTCATGAATAATGGATCTCTAGAAAAATGGTGAAGTAATGTAGTTTTTTAAATGTATAATAATAATTGGTAGTATTACTATAAATAAGTTTTTCTTTAATATTTTCTCATTAATGGGTTATGTTCTTTTGTAACATATCTCTCTCTCTCTCTCTCTCTCTATATATATATATATATATATATATATATATATATATATATATATATATATATGTATATATATATATATATATATATATATATATATATATATATATATATATATATATATATATATATATATGTATGTATGTACGTATGTATGTATGTATGTATATGAAAATGATTATTCCTTTCAGGGGCAACAGTAAATGTCTGACCAGATAAAAAACTCTTTTGGCATGCCAAGCATGTTCCTCAAGATATCCAGCAGTAGTAAAAGTTGTATTCATGTCCTCTCAAAGAGCATTAGCATGAAGTGAACACATGCTATTTCATTCAGCATTCAAACTTGGTTTGTCAATTCCATTTTCTTTGTTTTTAAGTGTTACATTACTTTGCACCATTTACTTACATATATACAAACATATAGACAAACACACACAGGCACACACACACACACACACACACACACACACACACACACACATATATATATATATATGAAAACCACCATCAATAAATAAAAACAATTATAACTTAAGAGCCCGCATCTTCAAATGTATATAAAATAACATGCCATATGTTATACCTCGCAAAACACTTTGCCTACATCACAACACTCACTAGTTCTATGAAACTCACCAAGTATCTCTGTCCACCCTGATGATGAATTAACAAAATCGAAAACTTGGAGCATATTTCTTGTACTTTGCTTCCAAAATAAACTTCAGACAATTTCTGATGGGATTTCTTCCTTGTCTGAGGATTATTCATAATTTGTAAAATCGATCATTAAAATTAATTGACATGCGATATCTGTTGTCTTTAATAATATTTGTCTTATATATATATATATATATATATATATATATATATATATATATATATATATATAATGCACACAGTGAGTGCTGATGGTGATAAAACAGTTCTTGATATAGAATAGCAGTGTTAACATCCATATATATATATATATATATATATATATATATATATAATGTCATCCACAGACAGACTGTTTTGCTGTATCACAGCTCATCAGTGTGGCTAGATGTCTGGTTGCCTCTAGCTAGGATCAAAATTCAGTTGGGGATTCTACCACTAAGCCGCTGGTGCACGGCAGGGATGAAGGTGAATTTAAGCATATTTATTTTTAGATAAACACACAGTGACTGTGAGAACTTTATTCGATTTACCGAAGTGCCATGCATTATTAGCCGTAATAGTCACTGTTTACAAACCCACACTTCCTCCCCAGAGAGCTCAACCAAAAATAAATTTTTCAGGAGCATATATATTGTCATCCACACACACAGAGAGAGAGAGAGAGAGAGAGAGAGAGAGAGAGATCTCTGAAGGAAAGGGTAATTTTAAAACAGTGGCTGCTGCTGCTAGTAATGCATCGCTCTTCAACTATGAATTCTGTTCTCCTACCTACTGGTGTATTTCTAACAAAAAATGTTTAAATTTTCCTTTATGGCTGTTGTGTGCCGACAGCTAAGGGTAAGATCCTGGCTTAAAGCAATCAGACATCTAGCGACACTGAAGAGCTATGATACAGTGAAACAGTCTGTCTGTAGATACATATATACACTGCGTGCCAAATTATTATCGAGATTATAAATTATAAATTATGATTTTTGCTGTGCCTTTAAAACCCAGTAAATTTAAAAATAAGTTACTCCAAAATTCGCTTTTGGATGAAATGGAACTAATGTATTTAATTTAATTACAAAATTAAATTCAAAGCTTTTAGCTTCCATTTTTGAAACATGATTAGAACTGTGTAGCGAAAAAACATATTTTAAATCAGTTAATTTATAATATATATATATATATATATATATATATATATGTATGTATATATGTATTGTTAAATAGAAAAGACAAATTCTGCCTGTTTTATTTTAAAATTCTGTTTTCTTACTTACAGATTAACTCCAATGTATTAAAACTGAAAGTAAGAAGGAACTATCTCCATATCAGTTTATTAATTTCAAGCTTTTGACTGACTTTACTCATTGTGTGGAATCATTTCCATTTTTGTTAAAATCCTGTGATAACTTTATGCCTCAATCTTAACCATGATACATTATTTTAGAAATTTTTTAAATGTATTTTTGTCACATGAACAAGATGTTAATTTTAAATATAAATATTTATGATGTCACATGAATGTGGTGATATATGTGTTCTTAGAATCTAAATACATTTTAGATTACACTTCCAAAGTTATAAGTGATTTTGCTATTTTAACTTAATATGAAAAGCTTCTAAAATTTTAATATTTTGGCAGTTTGCTTTACTAAATATATTTGCTTTACTAAATATTACTCTATTATCAACAAGGAGCACTTTTATTGCACTTAGGGCAAATATATGACAAGTGAGTCTACATGAAAGGGTTGTAGTTGTATTACATAATTTTTTTTCAGAAATAAAATCTTCATTTGTGTGAATGGATTCAAAAGCAACATTAATCTTAAATGGAAGATTAGATTTTACTGAGGTTTATTATTGACTACTAAATTAAAAGTTTAAAACTAACAGATGATGAATGCATGGATTATATTTTTATAGTTATTTCATCTTATACTTTGAATTCATCTGGTGACAACAGAATAAACTTATAATGTTGTTGTTCATAATATGTTCAACACTTAAAAGTTTTACTAATTTTTCTGAAATAAAACTTTATTGGTTCGTCGATAATATCATTTTGAAAGACATTACTGAGGAATGTTTATTTAATATTACTTAATTCTTTATAGATAATTGATTTATTTCTCTTAATTAAATGATGTCATCATTAGTATACCTCACTAGTTTGTTTTCTAAAAAAGGATTTTTATGTCAGGAAATATATAGTTTGGGACACCTCAAATGATATACATAAAATGTGGTTTGAGTCTTGAGCTTAAGGTACAAATATTTAGGGCTACAACTGATTTACTACATCTGTATGGCTCTGAAACATGGACAATTTCAGCCAATTAATCTTTTTTCAAAAGATTAGATAACACCTACACAATATTTCTTTGCTGATCTAAAAAACTTTCTTGGAAACAATATCATATTGTTGTATAGTCTCCCTTGTTGGAAGTGGGGTGTTTTTGATTGGTCTCATCTCGTCTGGCCGGTGATTGCTTGTCGTTTTAGTTCAATCCTCTTCTTCTCTTGGTCGGTGTGGTGAAATGTTCTTTGGGTTCAGAGATGAAAAGCATCAACAAAGGGAACTTTTAACTATTAATTTATTAACCACATGGACAGGTACATCTTCTATCAAGTGGGGGTTACTACACCCCCTATTTGGGAGCTGCTTCCATACATGAAATTCATTTCCTTTGACATGCAACAATCAACTCTCAAAAGATCAACTCTCAAAAAACCCTTTCCCACTGGAGGGAGAGGGTTTGCATAAATGCAATCTGACATGTTTAGTTAGCTCGACCTCTGAACAGCAACTCCTGAAAACCCTTAATCTATAACTCATTCCCATGTTTGGCTCAGCCAATCAAAATTGATATCCCTATTTTGTCTCCCATCTGACCTCAAAGATCAACCTAAGAAAGTCTGAGCCAAAATACACTGCCACTAAAAAATAATAGTTTGAAAGTATTATTTAACACTACCATAGAAAGGATATATGACAACTTATGTCCCGTCTCCTCCCTAGTGGAAGCTAGAAGAGTCCAGTTTGTGAGCCAATATCATACAGCATAGAATGGGGTTACTTCATCACTTGTCCTTGGGTGACCTCAACTCAATGGAAGGTGAAGCCAAAAGTTAACCTTTTCTGATGTCATCAGCAGGGACACAGGAATTAAGAGGGAAGACCTAATAGCAGCCATACAGGATTAGGAGTACAGGCATAGGGCTGTGGGCACTATGATGTCAACTGAGGTTGAAAGATGATTATGATGAGTTTATGGAGGAGAAATTGGGTGAGTAAATATTGGGTCAAACCATATTTGCATAATGAGCTTATATGCCCAGTTAGTGAAGGTGGCAGTTCTTAAGTCTATCATTAATGTTTTCTTTGGCTGTCTTCATTGTCAGGATTTCTGAAATGAGTTCTCATTTTTCTATAAGCTATTTAGACTGATTTTTACATTTTATTGTTTTTAACACTAATTGAGGGAGACTAGAAAAACCCATTGGCTAAAATGGAGTGATAAAAACAAAAGGATGCGGATACTAATCTGGACAACTTGTGAAATAATGACAATGATTTATTTCAGAATTTCAAATAACAATGAAGGCTGAAAAACCCATTCGTTAAAATGTAGTGATAAAAACAACAAGGATGAGGATGCTAGACTGAGTAACTTTTGGAATAGTGACAGTAGCTCATCTCAAGATTTCAGACAATGAAGGAAAGTAGAACACATTAGTTAAAATGTAGTGATAAGAAAAAACAAGGATAACTATAAAAGTCTGAATAATTTGGGGGTAATTAAAATGACTTGTCCCAGATTGAGACAATGAGAAAGGTTGTGAAAAACATTGGCTAAAATTCAGTGATGAAAACAGCAAAATTTGTGATATGTGCTTGAATAATATTAAACAGTGTAAAAGGCTGAAGAACATGTTGGCCAAAGTATTGTGTTCTTTATCAGGTAAAGCCAGCAAAGATAAGGATATTAGTCCAAGCAAATTTTAGCTTATATTTTTTTCTTTTATAAAAAAAATCATAATTCTGTCTCAGTCACTTACTTTATTTGCCTTTCAATCATTTTCTTATAAAATATAGTCAATAGGATTCTGAGACTTCATTTAAAAGCTGTGATATTATCATTTCTATTCAAGAAGATTAAAATCTTGATAAATTTAGTATTTTATAGTTGAATACCATTATTTTTTTAACAGTCTAATCTCTGAAAGAATATGTACATTGGAGTTGTAATTTTTGGAAATAACTGATTTCTTTAATCATAATTCAATGAACCTTTGTTATAAATAATGAAGAAGGGTTTAATTCAGTTTATTTTTAAAAAAATATCACACCAACATGAAATTTCTAAAATTGTATATAAGTATAATAGTTCTATGACTTTTTGGAGCCTTCAAGAACTTTATGGAACCTTCTAGAAATTGTTTTTGTTCATTTGTAAGGTTTTATGTTATGCTATAGCTATAAACTGCTAAATGCATTAAAAATACATGTTCTATCCAATTACATCATGAGCAAACTGTGCTAGGCCTAGAATGGCCGGGCATTGGAAGTTTAATCTGTCTTTAAGTGGGACTTCCAGCAACAGCTAATTATTCTAGTGTAGCAGGAACTAGTGGGGCAGTTATTGGGAATAGATGGTGAGAGAGGCTTGAAGATAGGATTAACTCCTTCACTACCGAATATAGCCAGCAGCATGCACTAACTAAAGCTAAAATGTGAAGACACTTAAAGATAGTCTGCTGAGATTCTGTTGGAACCTTATCAGACTTGTGCTGTGAAGGGCCAAACAATTCAGAGCAACCTGCATCTGATCTACACAATCATGGAGGGTGTAAAAGACAACGAGCTTGCCATGCTGATCAATTTGGATCAGTCCAAGGCATTTGATAGGGTCAACCATTGGTATCTGGCTGCTGTCCTGCAGGCCACCAAATTTGAACCCAACTTCTGTAAGTGGATTAGCCTCCTGTATCACTAAGCCCAGTGCTGTGGTACAGGTGAACAGAAAATGGTCACACACTTTTGCACTGTCTCGGTCAGTTTGTCAGGGTTGCCCACTGTTGCCCCAATTTATGCTTTGGTGTTGGAGCCTCTCCTTCACCAGCTGAGGGATAGGGTGTGCAGTCCAGAACTATGTGGAATCAGTCTCTGGTGGTGCTTGATCCAGGGTTTCCATGTACTGAGGTGGTACAGAAGGTGCTTGAATGGTACAAAAAGGTCACAGGGGCCAAAATTAACCATAACAAATCTTCTGGTTTGTGGTTAGGTGCTTGGAAGGGGATATCTTCCAGGGCCCTTTCATTAGATGGACAGTCCTGTCTGCATTCTTGGAGTGTGTTTTGGACCTAACCTCCAGCTGGAGAAAAATTGGTCAGAAGTAAAGTCAAAGGTTGGAGTAACTCCTTGTGTCTTAGTGGCTTTATTGTCCTGCTTAGATTGAAATGATTAAAAAAATCAGTTATCAGCACAGAAAGTGCAATCAGCAAGCTGAATAGATTTTCTAGTCTATTTCATTGTGTTCACTTTACATTAATACCCTTGGAAAGGCATGAGACCATCTCTTCTTCCCCACTTCTATGGGCTAAATAGCTGGATAGACTGGATTGTATAGCCTTGGGAGGCAGCCACTATAAGAGAAGAAAAATTTCTCCAAACTGTGGAGATGATAACAGGAAAACCCCTAAACTATGTTCCCCAAGAAGTCATAACAATTAAGACATATTAAAAAAAAGAAAGTTGTGGAAAGCCATAATCACACACATCTTGAAGGAATATAGCATAAAATATCTCGTTACTCTCTGGAAATATGAAGGAAATTAATACTCAGGATTAGGCTGAAATGAATGGGGAAATATTGAAGGAAGAATGAAAGCCAAAAGAATGCCTGAAATTCTGAAGTAAGTCATTACCAGCATTCCAGACATTGGAATAAATTCTATAAATAATAGAAAGGAAACTTCTCTGTAGAGTACATTTGATGAAGGAAACTGCATAGTGGCATTTTGATAAAAGGTTATATGAGCTGGGTTAGCATTGTATTTAAAAACTTTGTATATCAACTCAAAGAACAAAAAAGCACACAAGAACCCTCACAGTTGAATAAGTGGCCCCACCATTGCCTTGGCGCCAAGGAAAATATGTGTTGATCAAGTCAATGGATGTAACATAGCATTTTTCTCTTTTAACCATAAAAGAAAAAATATTGAAATTGGATGCTAGAATATTTGATACTCAAATCTGGAAATATTGTTTGGAGGAAGCCAAACCCCAGTTTGTTCACAGTGTCATGCTGGACAATTTCTTCTCACCAGAATCTATTTTACAATTTTATAAGCCTACCATTCCTTCATGCATTGAATATTGCTGCTACATCTGATCGGGTGCTTCTACTATGTATTTAGAGATTTTTGATAAAATCAAAGGAAGAATATGCAATATTATCAGTCCTGATCTGGCATCTCAACTTCAGTCACTTTCTGATTGACATAACATAGCTTCCCTCTGAGTTTTCTATAAATATTTTCATGGTAGTTGTTTTGATGAACTTTCCTTTCTTTTTATTGTAAATATTCATTTGGGGTTTCACTTTTAAATGTTGCTATTTTTATCACTCCCCCCAACGCTAGTCAAATTGTACATATGGGAACTAGTTATGAATACATAGAGACTTTGAGATATTATGGTGGCTGTAGTAAGAATGTATTGTTTTGGTGCAAGTAATACTGTGTTATTTTTGGGTCAATAATCATGGCTAGCTCAGTTTAAGATTAATCAGATTGAAGACCACACCTTTTGGCCTTGTGCTACCTTTTTGTATTAAAACAAAATAAATATTACTTCTCTCTTTGGTACCTCACTTTACAAATTTAAATACAGTATTTGACTAGCAGCTAGCTTTCAACATTTTACATTTACCATATATAACCATAAGTAATATACTAACAGTTTCTTTCTTTGCATTTCTTACTTGTGAAACTCCCTTCCAGCTACTTACTTTCCAGTCAAATTTGATCTTCAAAAAGTTAAATGCAATGTCAATCATCATTTTCTGTCTTCTTAATTCCTGTTTTTTTTTTTTTTTATAAATCTCTACTGTTATAATGTTTTTTTCTCAGATTCTTTCATACTCAGTAACCCCTTATATCTCAGTGGCTTTATTGCCTTACTTGGGGTGAAATAATTAACAAAAGAAAAAGAAAAAATCTCCATTTTGATACATGAATTATACACATGCAGATCTATAAAACCTTATAAAGATAAGAATACTTGTATGCATAGAAAGTATTGGACTGAGTAATTTACATTTATGGGAACCAACTGTAATGATGAGTGCATTATCCTAATTACTAATTGTACATGGCAGTTAAGAATAAATTCGGGGGCAACCAACATACCTTAGTTTTTACACAGCACTGGCAAAATGCACAGTTGATTAAGAAAAAATATCATTCTCCTCCATGACTATGGAAAGCCACATATGCCAAAAATAACAAGAAAAAAAAACTGCATTGATTGAACTGTTTCTACCTCCCCTGCCATATTCTCTTAATCTTGTACCATCTGATTATTACCTTTTTTGATTACTACAAAATGCTTTGATTGGGAAGACTTTCTGGAATGAAAATCAGATCCAAGTGTTTGTAGTGAATCCTGATAAAAATAAAATATATATACCAAAAAAAAATAAAAAGAATTCAAATTAAAATAAGGCATTTGCACTTTACTTTAAAACCCTTATCTCTTTCTTTCTCATTCTTCCTCTCTAAAATTCTCTTTCTGTACTTCTCTTGGCCTACAAGAAGGCAACACTCAAATAAAAAGAGGAAGAAAAAAAACTGAATCCAGCCAAAAACACTGGAAGGTTGCAGGATCAGAGCTTACTTATTTGTGACTGAAAAATACTAAAATCAGGTAGGCTCTATGCATAACTTCCATTATAAAAAAAAAGTGCAAAAGAAATGAACATCAAAAAATAAATAATTTGGTCAATGAAAAAATTGACACAAAGATTTTTTGATGATTATCCAAAACCAAAGTTCCCACCACAAACTCTGAGCCTATTTAAAAAGGATATAAACCTGACATCTAAGAGTGACCAGACTGACAACAGGAGAGGATGGAACAAAAGAATGCAGCCAAGCATGATGCTTGAAATATCAGTTAAAAGGTCATTGGCAACTGACATTTCTACCCTGTTTCAGAGCAGAAAAGAACACAGTAGATTGACACTGATCTAATTTCTCATATTACTACTACCCCTATCTTGGTCTTACTTCAAAACACTGAAATGGACATTTCTCCAGACTGCTACCAATATCTGCCTTATCAATGAACATTTTGCTATGTTGAATGCCAAAGGATTCACTCATCACTTTAAAGAAAATAAATAAAAAATAATATTATTTTAAACCCTTGTTTGTTTTATTTCCAAAGTTTTGAATAAAATAATTATCCTGCCACCTATGGACACTGGCAACACAGAGATGTGAACCCATATACCACAAGTTCATTGAATAATTTTTTATATCAAAGCCTATGGAATTTTATGTAAATGTTGTTGAAGAGCTGCTTGATAAGTGGCAATGATCATTACAAATAATGATGAATATGTAATTGAATAAAATGTAATTGTACTTTAGTTTTAAAAGAATAAAGTTGATAAACTTTAATGGAAATTATTTGATTCAACCTAATAAAATTGTCTCAATGAATGAAAAGGAAGTAAAAAAATTATACATATGGAAGGAAAGAGAAACATAATAAAAACAAGAAAGGAAAAATGGAATAAGCTACAAATGAATGAGAAAACCTAAATGAAAGAGAAAAGAATTTGTGATGGGAATTTTGGTTTGGCTAATCATTAAAAAATCTTCTCACTATAAACATTATTTTTTGTGGGTAGATGTGTGTGAGTTATAGCCCTTGTTTTTTTTTTTCATTTTAATAAACAGAGAATTTAATAACAATTGGCCTAAAGAAGTCCTGCCTCTGACATGAATAGAAGCTGCATACATATTTTTTCCCACCAAAGAGACCAGTTTTTGAGCTAAAGTGCACCTCTACCAGTTCAGCTACGGTAACCAACCTGACAAGGTGCGATGTTGGAATTAGCTATTCAAGGAAAGCATGTGTTTTTCATGGGACTTCTACAAATCTATATCTGCTTGATTCAATTTTATAACTGAAATGTAAACAACAGTAATTTTTGAAAGTATATTTTGTTTTATCTGATATTATTTCTTTTTATTATAAATGTTATTTTTAATGAGTTGATGGGTTTGGGTTGTTACCCCTATTTTTTATTTTCTTAAACAGTGAATAACAAACAACCAACTAAAATTGAGAAGTCATGCTAAAGAAAAATTATGTATCTGACAGGAATTATCAGCGAAACTACTTTTTGAGCCAAATTGCTCTACCAAATCAGCCACAGTTTAATAAAACTAAAAATAGTGATAGCAACTCAAACACATATAGTCACTAAAAATAACATTTATTATAAATTATATCAGGCAAAAAAAAATCTGTCTATATTTCTGAGATGAGGCATTGTAATTATTTACATTATTTATATTATTCAGACTGTTGTTCTCATCTTTATTGCCACATTCACAATGTTTTGGACATTGTATGCTCTGGCCTTCTTTAGGATCTGTCTATATTTCTGATATGAGGTATTGTAACTATTTACATTGGTTGGACTATTGTTATCAGCCTTGTTAGCATATTCACAACGTTTTGGCCATTGTATGTTACAGCCTTCCACAGATGATTTATGTTGGAATTTTGAACTGAACTCTTTATTTTGTCAACTAGGGTAGATTGTTCTAGTTCCACATGCCATGCCTTTTCTGGATATCTCAGTTTCAGTTAATTCCCTTTAGTAACTCAACTCTCCAAGTTTTTGTTCACTTCCGCTGTGACCAGGTATTGAACTCACAACAAAAAAATCCTTTCAAAAAAAGTAATTAAAGAAAAGAGAAAAATAAAAGACAAAAACCATTTAGTCATCTTAAGATAAATAAATTATTTGACTCAACCTAATAGAATTTTATCAATGAAGGAAAAGAAAGTAAGAAAAATATAAGTATGGAAGGAAAGACAAACATAGTAAAAACAGGAAGGAAAAAATGTTTTGGTTTATTGGTTTATTTTGTTCTGTGGTATGTCAACCTCAATGTGTTATTTAATGCTGACAAGATTTTAGGATAGATTTGTATGAATAGAATATATATTCTTGGTAAGAAATCGGTTTGTAGGTCAAGTTTCATTGACATATTTTTGTAAAGAGGGCTTTTGCCGAGAGTCTAATGTATTGCTGGTAATATCTTTTTTTTCAAAAATGTATTGCTGGTATTTTTACTATAAAAGTCTAATTTTATACTTTTATAGTGTTTTGATCACCATTTTTGGGGGTTAACTATTTGCCCATAGCTGTGACCCTAACAGATGCTACCACCCTCAGCCAGGATGGACCTGGGAACAACAGCAATTAAGAGATTGTTTGATACTCCTCAAAACTTCCTGATCAGAGGCCTTACTGCTGGATATAGTTTATTGTCAGTCCCAAGACTAGGGAAACTACAAATGAATAAGAAAACCTAAATGGAAGAGAAAAGAATTTGTGTAAATATAGAAAAGTAAAGTAGAAAGAAAAGAGTAATTAAAGAAATGAGAAAAATTGAGAAGAAAATCATTCAGCCATCTTGAGACTGAAGTTTTTGTATTCTCCTCAATTGCCTGCATGCAAAATCAGTATCACTACATATTTTACAAACCGTTAATTGGTATATACATATACTTTTACAAATAATTTGTAGTGATTTGCTTATTATTTGCTTGAATGCCTCACTAACACACATGCAGACAAAAATAGTTGCTTGTAAGGAAAACTAGTCAATCAGAAATTAGTGTGAAGTTTGAAAGTATGTGCTACATGTGTACAGCAGATGTGTGTTTTGCTTGATAGCACTGTAGTATTAGATAGTTTGGCACAAGATCAGAATGGTAGAGCAATTAGTGGGGATTAAACTTATATCTTTTTCTTCTTCTTCTTCTTCTTTGTGCCATATACCTTCAAAACATAGCCAATCATGACTTCCTACAACTTTCTATC